ATGGCCTGTAGATGGCTTGGAAGTCAGTTCTCATAATCTGACAGTATACAGTATAATATACTGTATCTAGACTGGGTAGTCTAGACCAGTGTTTCTCAACCTTGGCAACTTTAAGTTGTTTGGACTTCACCTCCCAGAATTCCCCAGCCAGTGCATGCTGCCTGGGGAATTCTGGGAGTTGAAGTCCACACATCTTAAAGTTGCCAAGGTTGAGAAACACTGACTCTAGACAAATATCTTCAGTCATGTCGAAAATCAGCCCCTTCTTCCCTTGCCAATAATTTCTCCCTCCCCACTCCCCCTTTTCCCATCTCACACCTATGGCCAAGTTTTCAAAGTGCATTGCTAGATCCTTCATGGCTGTCACTTCTTCTGTCTCTGTCTCTAGATGTGAAAGCTCCCGCAATATCTGTGTTGCTGCCAACGCCCCGGCCACTGCATCGGGTGCCTGGGATGGAAAGAAAGAATCAATCAGTGGAGACAGAGGGCAGATCTACACGGGCTTTATCACCCATCAGTATCATAACTGCTTCAGTGACAAAACAAGTGGCACATGTTCCAACATATTCTTTTCTCTCCAGAATACTTTTTCCTAATTATGTTTACAGAAAGTGTTTTAAGTGATTGTGACATCCCTGCACTGCCAAATAGTGTCTGTTTCAAAACTGTAGTACATGTAAAATACTCTTTATGGGAAATGCACACTAGCTACTTGTAGAAACAAGGAAAATCAAGCAAAAGATTTTTCAATCAACATTGTACAACTGACCAAGGACTTCAGAAATTGACTAATATTAGGTCTGATCCAATTGTGAAATTGACTAGAGAATAGTCAAAGTGCCAAAGAAACAGTTGGAGGAACTTGCCCCCAATGTTTTCTTCCTTCAAGAACTCTATTTCCTTTCTTTAAAATAAACTACAACAAATGTTCAGAAAGAAAATGATTATTCAACTATGCCAATAATTGCAGACAGGAAACTGGGCAAAAATAACGAAGTAAATACAGCAGCAACTGGAATCTGCCACTGCAGTGCTATTAGTCACCAAAATACATTGTTCTTATAGCATCTTCTATTTCTCTGACAATTACAATGTGTTTTGCTTTATCTCCACATGCTCACTGAGCAGCAATTTCAGTTTGGAAAATTATCGCTACTGCAAAATCTCATACATCCTGCTGTGGAACATTTCTGTTAAAGAACATAGTCAAGATTGGCATGAAGATAAGTCCTTGACTTTCATTCTGAGCATATTCTTCTGCCTTCTATCCTGTCCCATCTATCCCATTCCCAAGAATGCAACTTGATGAGAAAACAACAGAGTCATGGTTAGAGCAGACACCTTTTTAAAGGGTAAGAGCAGCTGAATTAATTCACTGGCAGATAGGGTTTTTCTCTTTTCCTCTGCACCATTTCCTGGACCTGAATTACACTCCTGGACTACTACTTGATCCTGGAGCTACATAAACCCTTAAAAAAAAAAAAGCAAGAGAATTAATTAGGGATGTTCCACTGAATTGGTTTCATTCTTCCACACATCAGCACCACGCTGATCTGAGTCTGGCAACGTGTTTCTGTGTCTCCACAATGATGAAAGGCTTGGATGAACCTTGAGAAGGGAAGCCAATTAGATAGTTTGGCAGCAATTCTTCTGGAGCTGCAGGGCAGGGAGTTTCCCAGGGCTGAAAACATCTATCTCATCCTGCTTTCTGGCTCCTGGTTTCCCTCCCTTTCTCCTGTTGACAAGCTGTCTCATCATTAGCCATTCCCATCCATGCCAGTCACTCCAGAGTGGTCTTGCCACGCCACCAGCCCAATGACAGTTGTGGGATGGTCTATTCCCTTGCTTTTCCTCACCACAAAAAGCAAATGTAGTGAGATAAGAATGACTGTCATCCCCACATCCCTCTAGCCACAGCACCCACGTACCCTGTTAACCATTTTTAAATGGCATGTCCCAATGACATTGATTTGGTCTCATCCCCAGCCCACAACAGAAGCAGCTTAAAGTTGTCTTTAGCTGTTGCCATGGATGTGATCTACGATGCTTCATCAACTATGTAGTTGATGATGTAATCAGGGGCTGGGATCTGTTCAGCCCCTATTGGCTACTAGGCTGCTGCTAGCATGATCCTCCCCTCTAGTCACTGGACACTACTCTCCATGGCCATTTTGGCTTGGGCTACTGGAGAGGCCAGGCACCTAGCTTTCACAGAGGACTCTGCCCCTAATGCTCGCCTGGTGCTTTTCAAAGTGCTTGTGAAGTCATACATGAGCTCTTTATATACATGGGTTTCATGTTTTTTGAAAGAGCACTAGACCTTTGTCTAGTAGCCCTGCACTGCCCAAGAAAGTCAGTTTAAATTGGAATGGGAGCTGGGTTCTGGCAGCTGTATGTTGCTGTCCCAAATAAGTGTATTAACAGGTTTTCTGATGCTTCTGCTGATAAGGGATTTCCTGCAGTCATCGTTTTCAGTATTTTTATTACTTTGGTGGAAGGGCAATGCTGCCATTTTTCCTACCCTATGGCTACTCTTAGGTGTTGTCACTTACTGTCAGCATTGCCATTCCTTTGCAGGACTAGTTGAGGAAAGAGCTCCTTTGTTATTGATTGGCCCTCCTGCTTTACTCGGTACTGCTCCTCTGTCCCTGTTAAACATGCTCACATGTCACAGGTGCAGAAGACAGACATGATGCGATGAGGGACAGAACCCTACCAGATGCGTTGTAACAGCTTCCTCTTGCTTCATCTCATGCTCTTCCTCTATAACTGCAACCGGCCAGCCAGGCTATACTTAGACATAAGTTTAGTGCTCTTTTAAAAGAGCGCTAAACTCACACTCAGAAATAGGCTGATTCACAGGTCACAGGCATGGGGTGTGCAAATTTCCTGTTAATCGGGCAGCTTGGCAGTTGACCAAACTTGACATCTGCCTACACTCTTAATCTTACCCTACCTTGTGTTAAAGAGAACCGTAGGTGCTGCTTGATGAGATGTGAAACAAAGCCAGGGGGACCCACCAATTACTTTTCTTTATTAAAAGAAAGGAATTAAAATTGTAGGGACAGCACCGACTTCATTACTTAGGCAAAATAGGGCTTGGCCATCAGGAGAGCACAACTTATGCCAGCACACTTTTCTGCCAATTTGAAGCAAGAAAGTACTTTCTTCTGCTGATTTGCTATAAGAAAAGGCACCCAGCAATCAGGTTCTAGGGTAGCAGAGGAATTCATAACAGTTATAACAGTTATATCATTTTCCTTTCTATGCATTTGCAATATAATGTTTCTGCTCTGTAAAGTACACTGCCTAATGTTATTGCTAGATTTATATCAAAATACAGACCATTTCCCAAAAATAAATTGCCATCTCTTTTCGATTCAGCAACACGGCCCAGATGAATAGATCAGTCCATGGGTTTGGTGAATGCTCGTTTTGGTACGTGGAATCTCCATTGGGTAATAATCCTTTTTTCTAGGCAGAGAAGGCAGCTTGATCAACATGAGAAAGAAAATATTCACAGTCACACATTCTTGGCTTGGATTGGTTTCCTAAATTAATCAAAATTTATTATCAAAATCGGAACAAAAACTTAATCCAAACTTTAGCCTCAGCAACATCCCAAATATCTGATATTTTGCTGTAGAATTTAATATATTTCAAACTTCTCAAGCACTAAAGCCATTTTTAAACATGACCTGCTTCTTTCCAAAACATTCCCCCACAGTGAAACTGGAAACCTGATTTTAAAAATTCACAAAATCTGATATTAAGATTCTGTTTCAGCCGCAACTAGCATTGTGAATTATATAGCCCTGAACTTCAACTATTACTAAAGTTAAGATTATGCAATAGATCTATTTTTTTCCATTTTTTAAAATCAATCATTGGTTTATCAAAAACTGTAGCAATTACTTGAAATAACAATGCAGCAACATAGGAGCAATCTTGGAAACAATGCATGCCATTTAAGTACAAAGTGTTAAATGCATCTCCAATGTAGTCACAATAAGCTAGCCTTTTTAGAAGTATTTTCATCCTTTTGCTGATAGGAAGAATGTTATAGGAAGGAAGTCAACTGGAGAGAGGGATTCAGCCTTCCTGGGTCTGCCTTGAAAAAGCCAACCCCAGCTGTTTTAAACTGTTTTTCAGCATTACACAGCTAGGCAAAACCAGACCCATCAGTAGGCTAGAGGGAAGACAACTGGGCACCCTGGATTAAGATCACAGAGCTAAAAATGTGGAAAGATGTCTTGGAGTTGCCACTTAGGGAACCACAGGGGTTCCTTTCCCATTTTCTAAACTTATTTTATTCAAAATGCTACTGTCTTCTAAAGAGAAAGAGGCTCAACTTAATCAACTGTAAGGGAACCATATTTATTTAGTATATCTTCTACTTTCCCTCTGAGAGCTCAAGATGACAAATGAGTGGGTGCAATCTCCCCACATGTTATCCCCACAGCAACAACAACCCTGTGAGATAAGCTGGGTTGAGAGAGAACATCTAGTGAGCTCCATGGTTGAACAGAATTGTGAATCTAGGTCCTTCTGGTCTTCAGTCCAATATCTTAACCGTTACCCTACCCTGGCTTACATGTTTCCCAGTTCTCAAAGCATCCTACTTGTCCTCATGTCCTCCCTACAGTATCTAATCAAATATACACAGCTGAATGTTACTACTTACCCCTGCCCCTCTGTGGCCAGTAGGGTACAGTCCTGCATAAAAAGGAGCACAGATATCCCCTAGTAGCTCACGCAGGATAACAGCTACATGAAACAAATGGCACTCAGGCAGAGTTCGTCCCAGCAGCAAGTCTTCAGGAGGGGTGGATGGATCAGGGCCTGTCCCTTGCCATCGCTCCAAAAGCTGGTGCAGCAGCGAGACCTTGGGAGACCCAGCATACAGCTGTTCCAGCTTTCCCCATGTCAGGAACTGTCCAACATCCAAACCATTCTCCACAAAGAGGCGCACCAAGTCAGGTCGATTACCTAGCAAGGCATCATGCATTGGGTTCTCCAGCAGCCTGGGCTGCAAGAAACGGCACAGAAAGAATAAAAATAAAATATTTACATCTCAGAACAATAGCTGATGGGAACTACTTAGAGATCGAGGTTGGGTCCTCCATTAGATAAAGTATGGCAACAGCAGCTTGCAGGTGCATGGGTACAAGTTATTCTTCCATGAATCCATGGCTTCTCTCTTCTGTTGGAGGGCAATGCTATATCTCACAACACAAAATAGGCTATTGCCTCAGCTGTGGTGGAGGACATTACCAGGACTGAGATAAGTTCAGCCAGTTTCTGTTTACAGATACCAACTCATCCTTCACCTTAGGCAGCAAGATTTATTGAGGCAGATCTGTTGATCCTCGTCTATGTGTCATTCTGCAAGTCAGTAAGACTTTCAACAGAGGAGTCATCACACTTTGACTATCCTGGAAAGGATTTGGGCTGAACAATGGCCATGTTCTGCCTCTCAAGTAAAGGATTCCCCTTGTATTGCCTCACTTCTCATCTCCATATTCTGCTCCCTCCCAGACAGTTTGTGGCTAATCTGCAACTCATCTCCTTCTTCCTTGTTACTTAATATATTCTCATCCTCCCAGCATGAATTTTGGAAAGAATCCAAGGATTCCTGCAGCAGAATGGGCAGAGACTCCCAGATGCAGGAGCAGTGGCTTACCACATCTTAGAATTTAGTGAAGGAAGAAGACATTATGTCTGAAATCTAAAATGATTTAATGGTATCACTGCACTTAAAATGATTGTCTTACAAGTATGGACATTGTAGGAGGAGACCCATGTTAGTCTATACCAGTGTTTCTCAACCTTGGCAACTTTAAGATGTGTGGACTTCAACTCCCAGAATTCCCCCGCCAGCACACTGGCTGGGGGATTCTGGGAGCTGAGATCCACACATCTTCAAGTTGCCAAGGTTGAGAAACACTCATCTATACTGTAATAGCTCCAAATCAGGATAGCACCTTTCCAGACTCACACATTTCTTACAAGTATGGACATTGTAGGAGGAGACCCATGTTAGTCTATACCAGTGTTTCTCAACCTTGGCAACTTTAAGATGTGTGGACTTCAACTCCCAGAATTCCCCCGCCAGCACACTGGCTGGGGAATTCTGGGAGCTGAGATCCACACATCTTAAAGTTGCCAAGGTTGAGAAACACTCATCTATACTGTAATAGCTCCAAATCAGGATAGCACCTTTCCAGACTCACACATTTTATTAAAAGGCATAAATTTTTTATGAGCTACAAGCTACCAACTTATGAAAGCTTATGTCTGTTAATCAAATTTGTGAGTCTGAGAAAGTGCTACCTGACTCCTCCTGATTTTCTGCAAGTACAGGAAAGTCTGTTTAAAAATGGAGTAACGACTCTTTATGAACCCTAACAGATATTTCTGAGCAGGTCCGGTATGCATTGTCCTGAGTTATGCATACCTAGCACCAACTTCCCACAATCAGATGACCCCCATATACAAGCAACTGCTCAACCCACGTGCTATTTTGAGATTATGAAAGCCAGAGTGCAACGCATACAGAGGGCACAAGATAGGGAAAGGCTGTTTGTGTACCTAAAACAACTTAATTCAAGGCTGTTCTCCTCTGTCCCACATGCCTCACACTTGTTGTTTTGTCTGTTCCAGGAGAGGATTAAAAGCTAAAATGAATCTGCCAACCCACCTCCCAGAGAATGTCCCCACGGAACAATTCTGTGCTGGCGATGTCCACCCGATTCCAGGCTACAGCCAGGCGTAGCTCATCCAGATAACAGGTGGCCTTGCTTGACCGCTTACAAGCTGCCAGGAGGGGAGAAGAAGAGACCCCCATTAGTATAATTGTCATTGTTCATAGTTCTGTTACAATTTAAATGTCAGTTACATATTTTTCTGCCTGGCTCACTATTGATTAAACAGCTACTGTACTTTCAAGGCAGTTTTGTAATGTTTATATCTTCAATGAGAAGCAGACAGGAATGGGTTCCCATTTCCGATGTAACCTATGCATGACATCACTTCCAAGGTTTCCTTCCTTGTATTGCTAGCGCATGGTCTAAATCTCCCCCGACAAAGGTGTGTCATGAGTCACTGTCTAGTCACTTATGAACAGTCTAGCTAAGCTACTTTCCTTATCCTAGGACCTTCCAGAAGTTTTGGGACTGCAGTTCCTGGAGTTTCTAATAGGCTGACCATGATGGCTGATCCCTGGGTACATGTGAGACAGATTACAAGTAGCTTATCAATTAACAGTTGCAATGTGTTAAAAACCCATCGTTTTTGTTGAGACCTTGCAAAATTGCTTGAAGCCTTTTGATGTATATGAGTTTAGCAACCTCTCACTCAATAGTGCTGTTGGTCTTGTTTTTCCAAGATGGCCACTTTAAGGTCTGCAGTAGAATGTCCTGGGGGGTTGAAATGCACCTCGTCCTTGTTCTGAGTCCTGATGTCAAACCTGTGTCCTTTAATTCTTTTGTGTCCTGTTTGTCCTATGTAGAATCCAGACAGGCCTTAAAGGAAGAGAAGGTGCCTCTAATTTTGTGTATGTAATTGTTGGGGCCTGTGAGAGTGCTGTGGATGTAGGTACGGGAGCAAAGTAGGCATCTGGGTTTGCTGCAGAGTCTGGTTCCCATGTTAACATCATTATCCTGTTTTTTTCTTGTTGCTTATGAGGATCTGCTTCAGTTGGTTGTTGTCTGTATACAAGTACCTTGCCTAAGAAGGTGCAGTACAGGCTGTAGAATATTAATAATGTGCTTTAGTGGTTTGAGCTATGAGTTGTAGATGACAAACCAGTGATATTTTGTGGTCTGTCTTTTAATAGGAACTCCCTGGGAACTAATGTGGCATTATTGATTTCTCTGTTGATCTTGTTGGGTGGGTAGTTTAGCCTCCTGAATGCCTGGTTTAATCCTGTCAGTTGTGTATCTCTGTCAAGTGGGTCAGAACAAATCTGTTTGCAGCAAAGAGCTTGGCAATAGATGATAGATTTGGTGGTGTGTTCTGGATGGAAGCCAGAAGCATGTAGGTGTACATGGCAATCTGTAGGTTTCCTATATTATGTGGTGTTTACATGTCAATTTCATAGCTTTATTGTGATATCAAGAAAGTGTTACCTACCTGTTTTGTAGATAAGTTTAAGCTAAGGTTGGTGGGGTGGAAGTTGTTGAAGTCATGATAGAATTTTATGACAGACTGATTTCCATGGGTCCGGATGATGTTATCTCATCAATTAATCTCAAGTAAAGGAGCAGCTTCATGAGTGGGAATTGAGAAAGCTGTGCTCTAAGTCAACCATGAAGTTGTTGGCATATTGAGGAGCCATGCACATGTTCATGGCTGTGCCACTGATTTGCAAATATATGTCATTGCCAAAGTGGCAACATATGGTGGCTAAATTGGTGTTGTTAGGGAGATTTCCTATGGAGTCCAGCCTTCTTAGGAAGTTTGTGGAGTCTCTTATGTAGCTGGGAGTGGCAATTTTGGGAACTACAATCTTAGTGAATCCAGCGGACACCCTTTGGGGAAAAGGCATAGCTTAAAATAAACCCATATTTTAATGTTCCATATAATGTTCCATTATATTAAAATTACTGTTTCTCCTGATCCTAAAAAAGAGTGAGAAGGAAATCAAACCTTCCCGCTTGTCTCATCCTGCCATTCAATCCTTCCACAGCAATCAAGGCAAAAGGTTCAAATGTACAATTAGAATGGGCTCACCCAAAAGATTAAAATGTGGCAGGAAGAGTTAAGATTCCTTGAACCTAGCCAAATATCTCCTTCATCAAATAACAAAAGATCTCTTCCCCAAAGAGATCTGCATTCCAATCAAGCAGTGCTTAGACAGACAAATACTTCAGTTCAACACCAATCAGGCAGTGCTAGACAGGCAAACACAGGATGCCTGATTAGAGGAAACCACAGCTCAACCGGGTACCTGACCTCAGAGCACTCCCTCTTGGAACTCTGGCTAATTACACTTCCCAAGAATTCCTAGAAGGAGCTAGTGTGGTTTCTTGAGTTCCCGGAGGGGAGGCGTTCTTTCGCGCCTTTCAAGAAACAATAGCACAATCTTCTCTATAAAAAGGGCTCTTTGGGAATTCCTGCTCGTGGCCACCTCTGAGACCCAATTCTGTGTGCTGTGCTGTCGGAAACCAACTTTTACCTGTTTCAAGCAACTACCTGTGCATTTTATTCCTGGCTCAGAAGCGAACTTGGTAAGATTTCCTTCCAACAAAACCATATCTGATTGGAACTGAATTTGTTTATTTAAAAGGGGTGTGATCAGGGTTTTTTTTTTTTTTTTTACTTGAAGCCCCCAAATTCACCCGATTCAGCCATTTTCCAAATAGTATCCGGAGATGGGTGCAGTGACATTCCTTTAAAATCAAGAAACAGGATGCTGGAGTCCTTGGGGTTCTCTGAGCTTCATGCCACAACAGAGTACACAGAATGAAGCTCACAATCATTCTCCCTGATTTAAAATCAGAAGGAATAGCACCTTATCTGACTAACAAATCTGATTAAAAGGCATAAATGTTCGTGAGCGGCACACAAACGCTTTGGTCTTTTAATAAAATGTATTAGTTGGAAAAGGTACTACTAGGCTCTTCTGATTTTGTGTCACCTTAGGCTAATATGGCTCTTCTCCTACAGTGTCTCCCTGATTTAAATGATTTATAACTTGCTTTTCCCTTTAAATATCAAAATGTTATTTACTACATTGTCTTTTTATTTATAACTGATGATGGCATTTATAAGGTCTCTTATTAGGATCTGAATCCTGAAATATGGGATATAAATAATTTTTTTAAAGGCAGAAAGGGTTTGATGAAAATGGGGAATCAAGGTCAACAGCTAACCAACAAAGTTTGGCACTATGGCTCTTGGATGTGTTAAGAATACACACACTCTCTCTCTCTCTCTCTCTCTCTCTCTCACACACACACACACACACACACATTATTAGAACCAAGTCTTGTATAAATTCAGTTATCCAACAAGATCCCAGGGGTAAGACTATTGAAATCTCCTGGGATTTGGTGATTTCCCAAGATTCTGACATTTACTGTATTTTTTTTCTCAATTTCAATTTAATCTAATGATGCCCACAGCACTATATGAGACTGCATATTCGTGCCCATTGCCCATCATGTGAAGAAGCTGCCAATCTTTAAATTGGGGATATAAATGCTAAGCTAGTTACCTTTCACTAGAGCTTTAAGCAGGACAGTCTCAAACTCTTCCAAACCCTCTTGGTCTGAATAGACAGTCACCAATTCTCTCAGATTCCCAATACTTTCCACCTGGTAAGAGAACATGTAGAGAGATCAGTGGAAATATCTTGGAAAAGAGAGAGAGAGAAAGAGAGAGATTCCCAAGTGCCAATTTCCTTTGGAGTCAGGAGTTTTGAAAGTTCATATAGAACAGGAAGAAACAGGAATGCATTTCAACAGTTCTGAGCGATATAAAGAGAAAGCAGAGATGGAGAATAGTTGCGTCCTAGGTCCTACCTGCTGGGCCAACTCCTCCAAGTCATTGTCTGGGAACTTCCCCTGCATTTTCTTCATGGCCAGAGTTTTCAGGGACTCCCCAGGTTGTGTCTCTTCCAGCAATTCAGCCAAGCAGTCTGCCGCTCCCCCAGATCCGGCTAAGAGGAGGCAGGGAATGGAGGCATGCACGGCCTCCAATACACGCTGGGGAAATTAACAAGGCAGAAGCAACTGGTGTGAGCAGATGTGCACTTCAGGAAGGAGCTACAAAGCCAGCCTTCCCCAGTCCAATGCCTCACTTCCTCCCATCATCCCCAACCATTCCTCGTTGTCTCTCTCTTCCTCTTTGACTTCTGAATTTTTATTTGTTCGTGTCTGAGGTCCACTGCTGTTCTCATCTCACATCTTTAACTCTCTCCTCTCATTTTTTCCTTCCCACCTATCTTTACAAATTCAAAAACTGGGTATATTTTCCCCCTCACATTTTCTTCCATAAGGAGAATTGTTTGCTATCTCACATTTCATGACTCTTCATGTTTCCAGCATGCCCTGCCTATTTTCTATTATCAGAATCTTTCCCTCCTCTTCATTTCTTTGAACACAAATGAATTGTATCAAAGCTTTTACACCTTTTCTTCCATATTCTGTATTCTGCGCACAAGAAGACCAAACTTTCCATCTCGGTCTATTCCTTTTTTCAGTTTTGTGTTTCTTCTTTGTCCTCCTAAGCCCACAGTAGAATTAGACAACTGAGACTCTGGACTTAATGATCTTATTGGTGTTTTCTCTTTAAATGAATATCTATCTATCTATCTATCTATCTATCTATCTATCTATCTATCTATCTATCTATCTGCCAATAATTTTATGGAGCCACTCTTTCACTGGAAAAAGAGGGTACATTCTTCACATCCAAATGTGGTAACTTAGCTCTATTATCTTTGAAGTGGAACTGTGGAACATTTCCCCAAAGTCTGATTGTGAAACTTTCTGTTCAAGGCCCTTCATCTTCTTCCACAAGACCTCAATCCCTTTACCTTGAACATGGCTGAATCCCCACTGATGAGCAGCAACAATACAGGAATCTCAATGCTCCCTTCACCTATAGGGTGGGGAAATGGCAAGATGGGGAAAAATTAGGCAAGAGAACAGGGGCCTAAGAAAATGAAGTCCTAGTAAAATGATGTTAGGGTACCAAATGCAAACATTTTTTGATACCCGTCTAGGAAGAAAACAAGGTCAAGATCATGATCCCCTCAAACTAAGTTTAAATCCTGATGATGACATAGATGCATCATATTATTTTCTCGGCCACAGTATGAAAGTAGCTTGTGACTGCTTTCTACTGGGGTATTTTTTTTCTACTTCTCAATCTTGCTTACAGCTGTGGGATTCCCTAGTAGTCTCCCATGCACGTATTATCCAGGTTCAAACCTGCCTAGCTTTTCAAGATCAGTCCAGAAGAAAATAAATTTCTATGAAAAAGGTTGACCAGGGGCATAAAGGTATAACAGAGCAGTCCACAGAATTCTGAGTAAATATGGATTAACCACTGCAGCCCTCTGGTTGTGATCCAGTTTGGGAGTAATTAACAGAATTAAAGTTTCAGTGCAAAGGGTCTGTAATAACGGCTTGCCAAAGCATTGTATTTGTTAAAGAATCAGAGGAAACAGGATCCTTGGATCAAAAGAAGAGATAAACAGTTGTTGTAGACACAGTGGAGACAGCAAGGGGATTAGAGTCAGAAACTTACATAACAAGAAAGGCTTCTTCCCGTGGAGTAAAGATGCAGAAATGAAGGGAATGGAATCAGAAGAGAGCATAAAAGTTGTGAGTGTGGATGGGCCCCCACCCCCCACCTCCAGACAGACGGCACTGAACTTACATTTCATCCCAAAAAAGCTAGGCCTTTAGCCTAATTTTTAGGGATGTACAACAGGTTTCCCCAATCTGGTGCCTTCCAGATATGTTAAACTGCAATTCTCATATTCTTTGGGTTTAGCTATCTAATTATAGAAGCTGTAGTCTGGCATATCTGGAGGTAGAGAAATACTATTAGACAGTCTGTTGCAGTAAGCATGATAAACAGGGTAACATCCTGTTCCGTGTTCCTGTCTACATGGAAGAAGTTACTCACCACCAGCTCCCACTTTCTGCTGGGCGATATAGCGTTCCAAACGGGCACGGAAGACAGACTCTTCACCCGCTCTGCCCAGCGTCCCATTGTCCACCAAGAAGAAGGCAGAATGGTTGGCATCTAGAGGGCAGAAAGGACTCACAGGGTTTGTCCGGGGGTAACGTGCTGGGAAGGAACCCTTTGAAAGGAGAAAAGAAGCAAATGAATTAAACAAGGATAAAGACGGGCATTATTGTGTTTTGTCACCTCCAGCTAAACCAGGAACTCAACTTTTGGGAGGTCAAGAATTAAGTGACATCGTGGGAGATATAGGACATACAATGCAAGGAAAAAGAAAAGGGCAAAGCCAGCACTAAAGCTGAGTTGAATTGAAATAGTAATTGAATTAGTTTAATCAAATTAGTTAAATACAATTAATATAGCTCACTCTGCATGTGTTATTTTCCCATTTCTGATATTAAAAATAATTCTCTAATGCAATGGGTGGAGGCTCTTATGGATCACATCTATGGGTTCCAGGGGTTGCCTATGGCCCTAGGACCTCACCCACCTCAACCTGTAACCCTGTGTTAAATTTCCCAGGCTTAACCCATCATCTGTTTCTTAGCCCTTCCCTTCTCCAGCCTCTCCTACCTTGGGGTTCACAAGACAATGGTGCTGCTCAACGATACCCCATGGAGCAATGCCCATTGCTACAACTCGAGTGCTGGGGTTGGTACTGGCCATAGCGTGGTCCCTCACCGCTTCCCCCACATATCGGCCCACACCGGCTTGGAGACCACTTGTCATAATCCAGGCACCTGTGTAGGAGCAAGAAATACAGGTAGGAACTATATAAATATATTGGCTATTCACAATACAGTGAAATCATATGAATGTTGTACTGAAGTTAAATAAAGTAGGTACTATTCAACCTTCTAAGATAGTGTACTTTCCAGGGCTGATACTGAAAATTCAAGCCAAGCCATGGGTCACCACAAGGCAGTTAAAAAAGTCAAGATGGCAACCACAACCATGCAGTCAAAGGCTTTTTGACCCCCCTGTGGACATCCTGGGCCAAGCTATCAGAATTCTGCCTGAAAATTTCCTTTGCCACCAACACCCCACACAGGATCTATTATAATGGCTCATGTGACTGAGAAATGGCCATAACCGCCTACTGAACTAAGTACATGCACATAAACTCTTATCTCAAAAAGGAACCAATTAAAAGATCAATCAGGTTAGAACCAGCCGTCTCAGCATCCACCCATCCACAGAGCCTGCATTATTTTTTCAAATATGATTGCTGTTACACACCCAGAAACAGCAGTGTTATGCACAAACACAGAGTCAGCATTTTAAAAAAGCCACCCTCAAGGAAGGGAGAATTTGTCCATGCGAGTGTCATCCCTGCTCAATAATTATGCCATCCCCCCACACCTTCCTTTACTCATGCAATAGATTGTATCACAAAAGCCTTGTTCAAATGCATGCAATTGCCAAGCACGGAACAAAGGATTTAGTATTTTTTCCTGCATATCTTGTTAGCAGACGGGGCTGGATTAGGTAGACATAATTCACCACCCAGCAAAGTGAAGGCATTAATAAATGTTAACCAGCAATATATGTATTTTGTGTACAGTTCACAAATAAAATTCCATACTATGCAGTAGAATAGGTCAAATCAGGCTTGCACAAGATTGAAAATATACTAATATAAAATATGCTAGATCTTCTATTATTTTCATATTCAAGAAAGCTAAACTAAGAAGTATATTTATTTAGGTTTACCTAGTTACTGTGTAACATGGAGAGCTTTTAATTAACTTAACAAGGAAGCTTCCCTTTATCTAGCTGCTCCATCTCTCCAAGGGCAAAGTTAACCCTTACTCCAGCATACCTGATCATCATTATTCGAATGTATCTCACATCAGACTAACCATTGGTTCCCAGCCCTCCCTTCAAAAAAATCATCCTTTTGTTCTGCAGTGATATGTTTTTAAACAGTTACTAGAATTAAAGCAAACCATAGGATGAGCTTACCTGTGCTCTGAGCTGCTTTAACCAGCCCCTTTCTCAGCACATCTTTGAGCCAGGCCCTTACATGCCCCTCATCTTCACCTCCCACTACTGACACCACCAAGTTGGGATGTGGGATTTTCCAGTGGTGCGTCACTAGAGCATAGGCATATGCAGGATCAGACGAGTCAGAGAGGCGAATGAACTGCAAGGGAGAGAAAAGGGCTAGACTAAAGAGACTACAAACCCTGATCAAAAGCTTTGTCCAGGGCCACCCTGCTTTGTTACATGTTACTCTCTGGACTCATCTTGTCTTCTTTCTTCCCACCTAGTTGTTGCCCTGGATGGGCGACTTTGAGAGACTCTTCCGGGTGATGCTTTACAAGATGGTTGGGGCATTTGCCTGCAAACATAGCCAATGTGGCCACTTCATGATGCATTGCTCTGAGCACCCATTCAGAGAGATATCTATAGAGTAGCCAGCTCAATAGCCAGCCAGAAGATACCATCAAGACAAGGGTAGATTTGTGCAGGAGGGAACAATGAGAGGAATCATGGATCTTCATCCTGCCTCAGGGTGCATGTCCTTCCGAGCTGCTCCTGGCTATACCCTCTAGTATCCCATCATTAGATCATCCCTGATTCCATATGCCCTCCCTCTTGTCACTACGTTTAGAGCCAGGAAATAGTTGCTTTGTCTTTACTATAGGACCACAGTCTCTTGCTATAATCCTGACTTCACCCAATGGAATCCTTAGCTTAGCTCTTGTCCCATCACAGCTCACCTTGCTAGGTCTACGGCCAGTGCCCAGAAACTCCACTTCCCCATAAGCATCGGTTGGCCTCTCTGTGGTGTGTTGCGCTGAGTCCCATTTGCTGACAATGGCTGCTCCAAAGGCATCTTCTATGGCTACAGATGTGTGGTTTCTGCGAAGGTCGCCACACTGACAGAGATTGGAGGCACTATAAAACAGAGCATGACAGGGAAGGGATCAGGAGAAGGTTGCATTTCTAACTCTGAGGCCCAGTAGAACAACATCCTCTCCTTTATCTTTTTAGTTTATACAGTATAAAGGAAAAGTTCTGGAACAAGTACACTGGTCGATCAATCTGTACTGAATCAATTAGTTTGTACTAGGAGTATTGTGTTCAACTCTACATGTTGCTTGAAGAAGGATATAGAGCAAACTGATGGCTCTCCAGATGTTCAACTCTAGTTCCTATCATCTCTGGCCACTGGCCGAAAGGGCTGGGGCTGAGGGGAACTGGAGTCAAGAACTTGTGGAGACCAACAAATCCCTCATCCTTGATATAAGCAAACTGGAAAAGATTCAGGGGAGAACAAAGAAGAGGATCAGGAATTTGGAAACCTGAAGGAACAATGCATGTTTAACTTCAGGAAGTGAAGACTGAAGGTGAATATAGTCAGAAAGTGACATTTGGCATAACAGCAATCATAGAAAGGACAGCACACAAAAGACATGTTGAGGAGGCTATGCAAAATGATAATGGGGTTTATGGGATGGGATAATTGTAGACTTCCAAATACAAATACTTCTGAACAGTACTACAACTTCTAGCATCTTTCAGAAGTAGTCGTACATTTTGAAATGTAGTTCAACAACTTCTAGAAGAGAAGGGATGGAGTTAATGCAGCAGAACAAGGAGAGAAGAGAAATAGTGTCATGGATGAAGAAACAAAAAAGGGTGCTGGGAACTGAAGCCATAGGAGAGTGGAGGTGGGGAGAAGACGGACGGAGAGAAGAAAACAGAGGGAATCTGTGTGGAGGGCTGGTTAGAATTATTTTATTGCCAAAAGACAAGACGACATTTCTTTGCCATTCCACATACCCGTTTAGAAATCAATGGGGTTTAGTTTGCATCTTATTTCTGTACCAACAAGAAATCATTCTCCACTTCATCTGAATAAAGCTGATTGTTTAAGGAGCACAACACAAGGATACAGGCCACACACAACTCTGTCTTCCCAAATAGAGGGATGGCCAGGAAAATGGCAGGTGACACTCTCTCACAACCCACCAGCCAGTTCCTGAGATAGTGCGTCAGTTCCAAAGATGACTAAACAGAGATATTGGCAAAGAGGAAATGACTGGAACAAAACATGGCATAGAGCAGGGTTCCTCAACCTTGGCAACTTTAAGACGGGTGGACCAACTTCCAGAATTCTGGGAGTTTAAGTTCACCCCGCTTTAAGTTGCCAAAGGTTTAGGATCC